CTGTCATATTAAGAACATCAGAATTTCAAATGTCATGGTTCTGCATTTTAATGCATCTTAAATAGCTTTTTGGCTTAGCACTATAAATTATAACTAGTTTAATCTAAATTACTATGCTGTAATATCATACAAAAATATACATTTTGTAATACAGATTCATTTCTGTGAAATACTAATGTTATGGAAAACAATGTGTCACTGTTCCATGGTTTTTTTACCACCTTCAATTATGAAGCGAGGTGCACACAGTACAAATGTATAGAGAGAGAACTAGTTCAAGCCTGAAAATGTATATTGCAATAACAGCACACAGAAATATGATATATGCTGGGTAAATGAATTAATTCTCTACCAGCAATAGTTTTAATTTAGAAATGGTTCTGAAAATATATGGTAAAATCTACAACAGTGAATTGTATAAGTGCGTATTATGACTAGAAAGTTTTCTCCACTATAGTTTAGTTCAAATTTAATCTAACTTTAATTGTTGCTTTGTTTTTAAAAACATTCATGCAGCTTGCTCCATATATAATGAAAAAATATTAGAGAATAAAAATGAAGTTAGTCTGCATGCTGATTTCTGCTAGTTCTCATAATAAAGGCAACTATTTCCACATTATTGAAAGTGACAGCATCACAAATCAATGCATGTCACAACAGAATAAAGACAGATACATCTGATTAATCAGAATTTAATTTTAGAAGTGAAGGAAGCATTTAAAAATCAAAGCAAACATTTCTGCTATCCCAGTTGTTTTTTCCTATTTCTAAGCAGTCTTTACAATGCAATAAGAGAACAACAAAGCCTGAATTCAGTTGATAAAACCCCAATTTCTGCTATAAACTTCTCACTGTGAGAGTGGATGTGGTATAGAGACGTCCACACTTCATATAACCTCTGACTTATCTTGACACTATGTGTATACAAGCTTTCTGATTATGGGTTTGAACGCATATTTTGTGTACTAAGCAATACGCACTAATAAATTCTAAGTAAATAAACCAGCTCAGCAAAACACTTCTACTAAAAAGCTCCCACTCACAGTTATTTAATTAATGCAGTATCTCTCATTCTGCAGGTAGTTTTCTGTTCATCTAAGCTCTAAAAGAGGTAATAATTGGTATTCATTTATTGTGGACTCTATGATATGCAGCTCCCCCATTTCCCTGTGATATGCAGCTCCCCTGTTTCCCTTCAATAGCTTGTCAACAGAATTTACAAATAATACGTTGCAGCACAGAGTTATCTGAATAAGACAGAAATACTATTTGAACCAACAGAGCAATGAGCTATTGATCCTGCAGTCAAAAAGGGAAGACATCAGTGTAGGAAAAGGTGTGTGAAGGGACATTTTTATTCTGCTAGCATTTGTCTTTCCTACTGATAGTTCATTTTAAAAACAGCTAGTCTCATTTCTGGAAGAAATCAAATCTATTTGATACTAAAGCAGCTGTGCAAGGATGTTTAATTTGGTAAATAAAATTCTGCAAGTCACTATCCCTTTCGCAGATACCTATAGACACAGCACTGTACAGGTACAGCGTCCTATAATTAATATTTGCATCACACTATAATATCCAGTACCTTCTAAAATATTTAGAGTGCAGTATACTTAGAGGTATGAATACTTTGAAGGAATTTCAGCTATTTCTCATGTTAGCTTTTTTATATTTCAACAATAGTAGAGTAGTACACAAGAACAAACTTTTGCTGAATCACTCAGAGTTCAAATCCTCACCCTACAAATGAAATACTACACAGGTTGTCATGAAGGCAATTATGCAGCAAAGTATGTGGGTGTTGAAAAGGGAGTGAGCACAGCACGGAACAGTTAGTGCTATGCTAACTCCCTCTGTGGCAACATGTGATGCTTTCAAGGTGAGACCAAGAGAGAAGAGGGCTTGGGGGAGTAAATTACAGTCTAGGGGCTAGGACTGCAGCATTGCTCTCCAAGAGTAACCCTATATAAGAAAGTAAGGCCTCTAATGGGCTGCAGGGATCCCTAGCCTAGTGTTTTAGAAGACTTTTCTGTGCTAGGTAGTGAAAGGAGGTGGTCATATGAAATGAATCTTCTGTCTTATAAGAATCACAGCTCTCCAGTCTGAGACCTTTCTATCCCTGTCTTTCGATCTGCTTCTTCCAAGATTTATCCTGCTTTTCTCTCAGAACTTACTCCACCACACACTACTTAATGTATGAAAATCTTTGGTTAGGCTATACAGACTTTTCACTAGCTATATGTCACCCAAATTTAGCCTTCATCAGTCACTTTTGCTGAATTGCCAAAGATGCTGATGGTCAATACAAAAGTCACAGATTGCCCCACCAGTGACTGAACACAGTGGTGAATTCAGTAATGGGCTCTGGAAAAGGGAGCATTTCTTCTGTTGCTAAGCTCCCCACTGCCACACAGGTACTTTACACTTGGCCTTTAACTACTGCAAATAAGAAAGAAGGAAGTCCGCAGGTAAAAACCTAGACAAGACAGATGAGGAGAGGAGATGGATGAGCACAGAATCTTGCTTCTAACACATACAATCAAGGTTGAAGTGGAGGAGCTTCAGCTTCCAAAAACTGTGTCTAGCAAGCTCCCCTCCTCCTAGAACCTGTTGCACTCCCAGGAATTGTACTCTCTGGGCAGCAGCTCTGGCTGCTCCCACTGACTCTGCAGGTTTAGACAAGGAATTCTTTGTTCCTGGTCCTACTACACAGCTCTGACTAAGTGGGCAAGACAGCTCAGTCCAAAATGTCTACTTCCATAGGTATTACAGTCAAAGAGACCTTGAACACTACATCAGATTTATGTTTACATAGTGAGAAGCTATTTTTTTTTTTAAGTTAGCACTATATGCCAACCTTAATCTAGCATTAAGTCAATGAGAGCAGACTTTGTGTAGCACTCATTGTTCACATAAGTACTGCTTTACTTCATTGAGCCTTACTTTCCACGCAAAGTATTTTTTTTGGTAACATCAATTGCCATACTACTATTATAAATAAAAGTAATTTTATTTCTGCATCACCTTGCAGCCAAGCATCTCAAGCCATGTCACAAATACTAAGGCTTAACACCTGTGGGAAAGGCACTCCTGGGAAGAAAACTATAGTAGAAAAACAAGGTAGTACTTGGGTGTTACACAGTCCTCCTGCACATAGAAACGCATGATTTAACAGTTTAGGCACCATAGAAAGACTGCAGTCTACTACAGAAATTTAGAAAAAAGCTTAGCTAAAAATAATAATCACTGGACTAGAATTAATCCAAAGCACTTTTCTGAAGTTCTTCTCTTTAAAACAAAAACTACCTGCAGTATTTTGCATCTTATTGCAACAAATACATTAAAAATTTTTTTTCTCTTTTATAACCACTAAAGGTACTTGCTTTTAGAAACCCTCTCACTTGAAAGATCTTCATCTGAGTCAGACCTCCAGAGCATGGCACCCAGGGGAACAATTTGCAGTCGCCACTTGAGAAATGACTCAGAGTCTGGTGCTTAGTGGAGTACCAGCATCACTTCCTACAACATGCATGTCTTCCCTCCTGAACTCCCACCAAGCTGGAACTTGGCCAGTGTCTGTTTAGGTTTTGAGATACTCAGTAATCAACATGCAGTCTGGCAGGACTGCAAACTTACCAGCAATAAAACTGATAAATAAATAAATCTCAGTACTTTTGATAAGCTGCCTTTAGCCTAGGCACTGAATAATTACAGCTAATGGAATGAAACACACGTAAATAGATATAACTGAATGATATTATGTCCTAAAAAATGTTTTTATAAGAAAACCTGTGAAGTTGATTGGAATCTCCACTGCAATCCAGAGGAACACTTACTTCCTTAAGGTTACATCAGCTGTGACAGCAGAAGCCAGGCTGGCACATTTTACAGCATGCTACAGTAATACAGCACTTTCTTCTTATATCTCCCTCATATTAGAGGTCCACCCTCTATAGTTAATTCACTTATGGTACTCACCCATGCAGAGGTGGCAGAGTAACAAATCCAGCTTTTCTGTTCTGCTAATGTCTCCATCCATCCCCATACACTTTTACATCCCATCTCTCAATTAAGAATAAAAGTCCCTGGTTTCCAAATTTATCTCCAAATCTCCCTTCAGCCCACACTACTGTTTGTTACTAGTTGACAACATATTACTATTATTCACACTGTTACTTAGGCTAAGGATTTGCCTTTGATCCTCTTCTTCTCTCCACAAGTCAAACTATATCTACATCCCAGCCCAAATCTTTTGCTCTGCAATACCTTTATCAAAACTGTTATTTTCTTCCACTGTCTAAGCTTCTTGCTCAGTCTTATTTTGCCATTTTAAATGTAGTAACAGGAAACCCATCCTGATGGCAATTCTCTGGTCAAACAAGCAATTTCACACTTTAAATCTACACAAAATGCTTTATTTTAGGTGACACACTGAGCCATATCCTCAAGACTCAATTCTAACTCCTTCCTCTTGCACTACAAGTTACTGAAGGTTTATGTCAGTGTATTACAAAACTTCAGCACTACTCTTCCCTCCATAGGCTTGGTTTATGTAGCATCCATCGCTCTCTTCTGCCACCCTCCCAGCCTCAAGCTTACACCCACATTATCATATTGCAACTGCAACACAATTTCAATGGTTTATCTTGGCAGTCCTTGGCACAGAAACCACCTTTCATGAGTTGTGTGATAAAGCTGCTACCCATTCCCATTGCATTCTGATCCCTCACAGAAAGCATTTTCACTGCAATATTTGAAAAACAGCCTATTACCCTTACAGTTGGCCAATATTAAAAGGCTGGGGAATAAAAGGGAGGAACGTAACAGCAGAAACTGTGTCACCTTTGCACTGTGCTGCACTACGCCTCCTGGTGTACTATACCCTCCCCTGCTGTCTTTATGCTAGCTAGACTTAATAGTGCCATTCTCAAGAGATTCAGATTTTTCAAACATAGAAAGAAATGGCTACATGCAAAATATACTTCAAAATACTTCCTTACCTTATCCAAGGAAAACGTTTTAGTGACAGCAAAGCCCCATCCAGCTTCAAAAGCTCTTCGAATCATTGAAGAACTAGTAGTAGGAGTTGCACTGGCTAGGCCAAAAGGATTTGGAAACTTCAGTCCAGCCATTTCTACACTGATGTCTACTACATCGACAGGAGTATAGAAGAGTGGTAGTTCTGGAACACTAGAAACTGCAACACCATGTATGGACTGTAACAAGCAAACAAAAATCACAGAAAAGTTTGCTGATTAATTTTTATATATGATTTATTAATTTTATACAATTTATTATTCCCTGATAAAGGAATAATTCACATATATAATAACACAAAGTTTATTCTGTGTTCAGACTCGCAAATAGGCAAAACATGTAAACACTTGCATATGTTACTTCTTTTGTCCCAATAGGGTTCATGCTGAAATATTATGCTGAATATATGGAAATAACTGAAGAAGAATAATAATGAAATAGTTATTTTACATCCTGTACTGCTAGCCTGGTTTGGTCCAAAGGTTTGTTCAGCCATTCTGAGAAGACATTTCTATTTCCTACAGCAGCCAGCAGCAATGAGATTTTAAAAAACCCAGAGTGTGCATGCCTTGCTAGTTTTCTTCCCAGGTGTGAATCTAGGAAAACCATAGGGACTTGTGAAAAGTGAGGGAAGGCATCCATGTGCAGGATCACTCAGCCTTAACTCAATGTATTTAGACCTTCTCCGCCTTTTTTTCCCACCTTTTAAAGATTTTATTTAGCCTACACAATGGGACATATCAATATATGCAAAACTATTATTGTTTTAATATTTAATAGTATTAATACAAATATTTTAAGTACAACGAAAATTTGACTCTGATCTGGGATCAAAGAACATCATACATATTATGGCTGTGACACCACAGTCACTTTTGTTTTCATTTTAAAGATGGTCTTTTCTCTGGAGAGTCAGTGAAAAGCTTTCAGTGTAAATGTTGCATTTAATAATGTAAAACTGTAGAGAGAATATCTTTTTTCATGTATGGATTCAGGACCAGGCTGTGGTAGGTAGAATTAAAACCTCTTCTCACTCAGATGGTTGACTCAATAAAATCACAAAGAAACAAAGCAGTAATTTACAACACAGAGAAGCCCTACACAGTCTGTGTTCCTAGTAAGTCCCAGTATAACATCATAGCAGTTTCTTCTATCCTTAAAATAAAGATTTCTTGAGCAGGACAAAAAGAACCACTACTGGAGGTATGGGGAAGATTTTCTCTACTAGAGTAAAAACCTCTGCCACTTACAAATTGCTGTCTTTTCTTATTATTGTTTGTTTTGAAAGGAACTTATTTAGCCCATTTTTACCTGTGATAACTAATAAGTATGGATGGGACGAGGGAGGTTTTGTTTGGTTTAGTGTCTTTTGTTTCCTAGTCTGGTTCAAAACCTGAGAGTTTATACGTCTGTTTTGGGACAGCCTGGATTTAACATCTCAGATTCTGACCCGTCTTTGATTCCTTGGACACAGAGGATACATTCGGGGGTCAAACTATCTGATGGCTTAAAAGCACTGAAGGTAGTGGCATTGTCCTAGCCTGAATGATGGGAACCTGACTTCATCCCTAATGGTGGATGTTTTAAGAAAAGCTAATTTTTAAAGATCACTAACACTTGGAACCAAAATCCCTCCTGCATCTCGACCTCTCCCAGATCGCAGCCAATACAGCTCCACTTTATAAAAAGCCAGACATCCTCCATTTTTTCCATCCAGAGTCCTCATCCATCCTCCACCTCAAACTCCCCAGGGCTGCTTTTTTACAACAGGACAAAGACCAAACAGACCAGCACTTCACATCTCCCAAGCTTTTGTTAACTTACAAATCAAAGAAAAAAAGTATTGTCTCTTGATTATTTGGCATTTGATTTAACCTTTTAAACTCTTTTTTAGTCTTTCTTAACTAAAATTTCAACTGCAAAATGTTAGCAATATCAAACCAGAAATTCTTGGATCACACAATTGAAATTAAAGCATTTTTAAAGTGTTAGCAATTTTTGTCTCCTGCACATTCGGAAGTGGGAAAATCTGCTGAAATCAACACTGATATACTGAACTCTTACACTGAACTCTTTGATTCTGTAAGAGTGACAGCAAAGAAAGCCTTCTGGAAATGTTTTTGGCCAACTCTACACCATGTGCACATGTGAGTAATAAACCACAATGACAAAATTTTCCATTTTGTAAGCAGTTATTTGTTAATTCGTTTGCTATCCAGAACTGTTCAAATGTTCTCTGTGAACATATTTCAGTCTGTAGATTGCTCACAAACTGTTAACTGCCTGTATGATGTGTAAGTATTAATTGCTATAGACAGATAGACAGACTCTAAGTGCTTAATATGCAGCTGAACTTACATTGCATTGTTTTTTTTCCCAAGCAGGACAATTTAATCTCTAAAAGTTGTCCTTACCTAAAATGAACATTGCTTGAAAGTCATTCTTACACAGAGAACCAAAATGAGCTTTCTGTGATGAAACAGAAAATAAAATCTATCCAAGGAAAAAAAAATAGAATCCACCAGAGCAGTGAAAGGCTTTGAAACAAGGTGGTTGAATACACTCATCCAAAAATAGACCTTGCTTCCTGCATGCCATCATGCAAACTGCGCATAAGCCAATTTCCAAACCATATGCAAAGAGGTCTCTTCTTCCTGACAAACTTCTTTCACAAAGAGCAAAACCACAAACAATTCCACCCAGATGAACTCAAGCAGTGCAAGATGTGCCTAATGGTTCGGTAATGATGAGGTGACCCAGGTGGAGGTGGCAGGAAAAGGATTAAAACAGGTTTCAGTGGAATAAACCAAGTATTTAAAAACACAGAGGGACAGGATGCAGCTGACGGTTTGGTAGCCAGTGGCTATACATCCTTACAGATTTATCTCCCTCCTTCCTATCACTTCCCTTTTTGCTCTATTTATTTTTTGCCATTTTTTCCTGTCAGCACAATGCTTATAAAAGAAATAAATTTACTAAGCCCTGATGTGTTTTTTTTTTTTTCTACAAAGCAAAACTTTCAGCAAACTAAAATGTTTTATAGCTTCCTGAAAGTAAAATCATCTTTATAATGAAGAATTTCCCTGACATTGCACAAACAAATACGAAAAGAAAGCCTGCAGCAAGGGTTTATTTATAATAACTCTTCCCTTGATTTTTAAAAATAGAGGACAAAAAGTGTGGCCCATTCTTCCTCTAATTTGATGCCAGCCAGCTGAGCTAACAATATTGCAGGTATTGTTCCAGTCACGGCAATTTTTTGGATAGTGGAACAGGGTGGTGAAAAAATCCCCAGAGCACGTTGCATGCAGTGGCCCTACCTTCCTCTAACCAGGATATGCCCAGAGGCAAAAGCAGCACAGTCTATAGAGTAGGGCTGAGACAGAAACTCAGCTTCAGACCTGATACAATTTGTGACATTCATTTTCTTTAGATGAAGAAAATTCTTAACCACAGCAATATGGTTTAACTCCATTTTTGGGCCTTTAACAAAGATAGACTGTGAAAGTGAGTAGTTGTATTACTGTTATTTGTCACAGAGAGCCGTCCCTACAAATCCTACTGCCTGGAAGAGTCTTCCTGAATACTTTCACCTCACTCTTGCTTTCTCCACTTTTAAGTCTGATCTTCAAATGTGTATTTTCTCCCTTGCATCTGCTTCTTCTATTCTCTGATTATGCACCATTTAGCTTTATTAAATACATATAAACTTTGTTAAATATGTTTATGCTATTTCATACAATCTCAGAATGGTTGTGGTTGGATGGGGTACCTGGGGCCCATCTAGTCCAACACCCTCACTAAAAGCAGGGCCAGCTGGAGCAGGCTGCTCAGGGCTCTGTCCTATTGGCCAGAGATTTTAAACTTAACTCCTTGCTGGCTTTCTGTTTCTGGAACAGACATAGTGCTTACTCAGTGGTAAGCAACTAAAATACCAGTTTTTCTGCACTTGCATTTAGTCCAACTTTTTGCAAAAAACACTTTGTTACTCAGTTCCATGCTGTGTTTCATGCACTGTCCTATCTAAACAAAGGGACACTCAGTTTTTCCTTTGGTTATCTTGAAAAGAAGCAGACAACATAACTGCTTCAGAGATAAGCTTCCTGGGAACTACCCATTTCTGCTATTGATTGTGAAATAATGTAGATTCATGAATGCTTGAGGAATATATGAGAATGGTCAACCTTCACAAAAGAATCCACTACTATACCTTTCATATACAAAGCCCATGCGTTTTTTGACAGCAGAGATTAAGAAAAAAAAGCAAATATACAGTGCTAGTTTAAAATAACATAATGATGTGCTCAAAACTTATAGTGAATAGAGCCTTAGTAGAGTGCAATTTATATCAGTTGGGATCCAGCCCACTAAGTGTATCACATTCATTTCAGACTAGCAAAAATATAAAAGAAATTGTCCACACTCGGAAGATTACCGTAAATTAAAAATAGATGTAAATAAAAGAAAACATATTGTGAACCAGAGAGGCAAAGTAGCTTTTTAAGAGGAATTTAGTGAGAAGATGGGAGCTTGACTGCCACATATGGGAAAACACTCCACAGGTAAGTGCATGAATAGGGCAGGAGTGAAGGATTATGGCTGGCACTATGCTCCAGGAAGAAAATACTGGAAGAACTGGATGTGAGAGCTGTCTTTGCTCTCAAGGCAGGCATAGAGAACCAGAAGTTAGTCCTGCAATAATTGTGAATTATCCTGAATATAACTACTATATTATTAAATCCCATTCACTGATCAAAAAGAAAAGAATGGTAACTGAGGCACAGAAGAGAAAAGTAGTCTATACTGCTTTCACACAAGATCATAAAGCCACTGTTGGACAAAGGTGAGGGCCATTACAATCCCCAAACTAAAATCACCAAGATTACTTTGCAGAACTCTTTACATCATTCATGGAATAACTAAAAAGGATGAATCCCGAAAAAGTGTGAATAGTGGATAGTTGCATGAATTTGGCTTACTCTGTTTGGATCTCTAATGACTTGCAAAGAATGGTCCTAGGAAGGATGACTGTATTTTCTAACAGCTTCTACTACAACTATCCTTAGTTATGCTTTGACTGGTCATGTTTATAGAAACTAACCTGACACAGCTGCAGGCAACAATTTCTGAGATGAACCTGTGCTTCATGTAGTGGGAGGAATATATTAAGAGGCAGGAGATATTTAAGCAACTAATGATGGAAAGTTTCCAGCATAAGAGCAGCCAAGAAGCTTCTGTAAATAACTCCCAGTTTTGAACATAAGGCATTTCTGCTGGAGAGCCGTTGAGTCTGGATCTCATGCTTCACTTGACCATGTGCCAGAGCTTGCAGTGATCAGAGTTTCAGGGCACATATCAGGCCCATCTGTTTGCTTAGCCTTTTGCCTGGAGTAGGTTGGGATACAGGCAGCATGCTGTTCAAACAGTGCATTTTGCAAGTAGTCATGATGGTGGTTTTGAGTTTCAACCTTTGGTGTGGTCTCGGGTTGAGTGAGAAAAACCTATGGAATAGTTTTATTTTGCTAGAGGCTGACTGCACTAATTATAGATCCTGGTGCTGAGATAGTTGTAACTAAAATGCAAATGGATAAATGGTAGCAATGTATTTATTTAAAACTTATTGTGTACTCATTGCAGACACTAGGATCACAGGAAACTTACTTGCCTTAGAATCTCCTAGTGGAGAGAAAATAAGGTACACTGCAAGAGTGCTTTTTCAGTTGATATTGGAAGTTTCCAGAATACAGGGCTGTGATGTGAACATGTGCACACACATGCACACAAAGGCATGCACACACACACATACTACTGCTGCGGACATGAAAGTAACACAATTGCTCCCTAAACAACTTTTAAAAATACACTCCTCCCTTTCCTCCTGTCACTAAAATTTCTACCAGGTCCAAACGCTGGGGAAATAAGTTGCCAAATAACAGCACTCTGCACCACAGCAACCAGATCTTACAAGGGCTGCACATCCAAATAAATGCCTCTGGGCAACCCATTCATCTAACAGCTGGAAAGGTGACACTTGACATTTGGAAACTTCCCTATGAAGATTGCTGTAAGGCTTTCCCATTAGCTTCCTGGTGAGACTGTAAGGTTGAATAAACTGCCTTGAAACCTGCAAAGGGTAACGGAAATGCTCTAATATTGCAAGCCTGCTTGATTTAAAATTCCACCTCTCAAGCCATGACTATTCAGATTTTTTTCTAAAGTATTAAATACATTCCAGAGGGGGTGGAAAAAAAAAAAAAAAAAGGCAGCAGCAAGCTTCGAGAAGGAAGCAACATGATAAAGGAGGGGGTTTAAGTGATATGTGTATTTCTAGAGGTTAAAGAGGAAGGAGGCACAAGGGAGGACATATTCCTCTCTCCTCCTATCACAGTTACCCAAATAACTGAGAAATGAAGCAAGCAGGTCAGGGATTAAAGATGTTTCACACTCAGCATTTTCATAGCATCTAAGAAGGCAGGACACAAACAGTGCTTTAGAACAAGTGAGAAAAAATATGCACAGACACTAACAACAAGCTTTCAGCTGAAGTATTTTTAGGAAGTGAAATCAGACCCCAACAGCATGAAATTGCACAAACATGCAATCAGAGAGCCTTTGAGCAGATGGATGGGGGAGAAAGACATCGAGCTGTTACAGTCCCAACTTCAGTTGTTCAAATCTTTTTTTTGTGGAAGGATGAATCATGTATCATGTTTCTAAAACGTTCCTTGCACTATGAACACACTCTTTGTCAGCTGGTTCTCCACACACAGGCTGTGTCTCATGTCTCTGGAGGTTCCTCTCCACCTCCTCTAGACTTTGTGCTCTCTCTTTTACTAGAAAAATTAGAGCAACAGGCGAGAAACACACACACAAAAATTAGAGCAACAGGCAAGGAGGACCAAAAGGGAACACGTAGTTACCAGGCTTAAGTTTATGCCCCTTAAACTCATATTTCTCAGGTAAATTCTCCTTTGCATTTTTTTCCTCTCTACAGTCAGTGTTTATTTTTTGTCAGCCTCTTTTGTCCACTTTATCAGCCTCATTAGAGCAAACTTTAGTTCCAGTATAGATCATCCGAGTGCTCTGTAAGCTGTTAGTACATTAAAAATGTCTTCCCAGGTAATAACATTAGAAGTATTTAATTTTTACATTATGCACTATTGGAAGATTTTAATTTTTAATACTGATGGGCTTGCTTCTCTTCCCCCATTAGGAGTTTGACTTGCACTTTGTATTGTGCAGGGAGACTTGCTACCTTTGGGTGAATTTAAGAGCTGGGGCCAAAAAAACGTTGCTTGCATTTTGGTGTTGATAATGTAAGAAAGCTGGGTTCAGCTACCCAAACTCAAGTATGTGATCCAAGTTGCATGAATCTCTAATGCTCAAATCACCAGATAATCTAGGTATTAGTTTCTCAGAACTTGTATATATGATCTAAACCACAATGAAATTATTTTTAAAAGTGTCTAAAAGCAGATAGAAATAGGAAAGTGAAAAATACTTATATAAAAAAAAAAAAAAATCACCTGTATGTATCTGTGCATGTACCAGGAAGCTTGTTTTCCATCATTTACTGATTCCACTGTAGTGTTAGCAAGACCACCAAAGTCACCGCCTGCAAAAACCCAGGGTTCACTTGTTTGCATAGTCTCCAGATCTACTTCAGGAAGACCCCATCTGTTAAACTTGATAGGTGCCATGGCCTCTCTGACTGCAATTAAAGTGAATAACAAATATGTTAATAGAAGAAAGAAAAACCCGTTGCAAAAATTTGTCAAAAATGCAGCGATAACAATTAGAAAAGCAGTTCCAAGTTCCTTCACTTACATAAATGCAAATTTACAGTGGAAATAAAAAGTCTTTTTTTGTACATAAACATTGTTGTTGAGCTAGTGGAGGTAGGTAATTAGTAACACGACTCAAGACAGAAAACCAGCATACATGATATAGAGCTGCAGCTTGGTAGTATCAGAAAAGTAATCAATTCCTGTGCATCTGCAAAGCCAGACTTGCATGCAAAATAAACGTATACAAGTGTCCCAAGAAGTGACTGACTCAACGCAAGCTCAAGAAAGAATTGGTGCCAATGTTCTTCTGGTCACTCCCTGAAAACACACTGCTTAGCCCAGAGGCTGAGATTCACAAACTCATTCTCACTGGCGTTATTCACCTCCTAGGGGAAAAGCGCAGCACTTCTGAAAATCCTATTAACAATATTAGTAAGGGAAACAAAAATTCTCCCTCTCCCTCCACCCATAGCTTTGTATTGAACTTCCTATGTCAACATGCTTTTCTTCTCAATAACTTAGCATATACTCTCTTGTGCAACTTGATACACAACATATGATTTTTTGACATTTAAAACCAAAAAATAATGTTTCTGATACAATTTCTATAAATTATTTTAGAACTCCAGAATTTACTTCCCACAGTTATTAACCCTCACAACAGAAATGATACTCAGCTACTTTCTGACAGATCATTATTTGTAGTATTAGGTTAACGGTTGGACTCAATGAGCTTAAAGGTCTGTTCCAACAAAAACAATTCTATGATTCTACGATCATTAAACCTGGCTGAAAAATTTCTAGACTGAACATTTTCCCACCAGGAAATGTTACACTATCAGAGCTTTGACTTTGACAAATTGTGTTGGTTTGAAGAAATTTAATTCTGAAAAAGATATATTCCAATACAGTCAAACTCATCCTGACTTAATAGTTAAATCAGAACATCCTGAAAATAAGGCTCACTTTGAAACTTGTTACATGTATTAAGAATATAACCATAAATACAGAATCAAAATTAAATGCTCACATGAAGATAATATATTTCGTATCTTTTTCTCTACAATTTCTGATTTTTCTTTAGAGCATGCACTAAGATATCTGTATAATTTTTCATGTTAGTAAATAGCATATATACATGTTCTGCACACAGAATCATAGAATAGGTTTGTCTGGAAAAGATCTTTAAGATCTTCAAGTCAAACTATTAAATTAATTGTTATTGTCTTTAAAAATAATGTAGATGTGAAAATAAATTAATTTTTATACTGCATGGCATTATACAAATGGCATTAAATACACAGATGCTCAGAAAATAATATTCTTCGATACTAACATGATTTTTATTATTCATTTTAAAATTATTTTATTACAATTGCAAAGACACTTCAAAGCAGCTTCATGAAGAGAATCATGTTTTCAATACATAATTTTAGCAAATGTTGATGGCATGTATCAAAATCAGGGGTTTTTATATAGCTTTGTCTACAGGAACTGAAGATTCTGCAATAAAATGCAGCTTAAAATTGCAACGTCCCTCAGGGATATACCACTAGCAGATGCAGATTGCCAAGGTCAATTAAACTGATGTAGTTGTGCTGTCATATATGTAAAAGATAAACCTGCCAGTTTAAGACAAGATTATTTCTCCAATACAAGGGCAAAGTCACAGTTTTATTACCCCAACACACACTTGAGCATACAGCAAGCTTCAAACACATCTTTCTTACACATCATCATGATGGAACTTTATACTCAGGCTCTGTATCTCCCTTCATCTCCAAATCATAAATTAGAAGGGTATTTCAAAGTGGGGGTTGTGTACAACCAGGGACAAAATAATAAGATAAGAAGCTATACACAGACATTGTGACCTACTTGTCCCACTCATGCTCTTCTTCTCATCCTTGATGTACACAAACGTATATCTAAAGTTGCTTTTTTTTTTCAACTGGTTTAGAAGTCAGAATCATAGAAGACAGTTTTAAACTGAAAGACTGTAACTGGATTTCATACCAGAAGTATTTAATCTATCTTCAAGGTCTATTGTTTGCACAATCCCTCCCACCCTGCATACAAGTTGTGGCTTAACTTGACAAAAATAATATTTACATAGTAATAGAATAAAAAAAACTTTTAAATTATTTCCTTTAAAGTTACTAAAATTACTGAAAGATCACACCAAACAACCTTCGGATTGAGACATTCTTCAATCTGGAAAATGAGAGGTTTTTGTTTGTTTGGGTTTGGGGATTTATTTTCTTTTTTTTTAAAAAAAAAAGGAAAATGTTGAAAGTGTTGATAATGGCTGATGTTTTATTAAGAAAGGTTCAGTAACTTTTATAAATCAATACGTTAACTTTCTCTTTGTGTCTCGGACTGTACTTCCAAAAAAACCTTTTGATCATCTTTTATTTGTGATATATAGGATAACGTTGTATGCAGTAGAACCATCTCAGTATGTGGTCTAGACAGCTCTCACAAGCTAAACACACACAGGCTTGTAAAGACATGTTTAAAAAAAAAAAACAAACCCCAAAGGAAAACTTGGTGCTGCAGGATTTGATATCAGGGATTTAATAGATGACTTGTTTCTCTGAGACAGGATTGAACCACAGGAAAAGGTGTTAGAGGGCAACATGCTATTGCAGATGCAGTTCTTCAGAAGAAATTATGTAAAACTGGAACTTCTGACTACTTATTTCATCTTGTGGAACAATAGGGTATTATCTCTTTTATCCTGGATCCATTACATTTCTCAAATCTATCTTTGGATTGGTTTGTACTAAATATTTATGTCTGGACATAATTATACCAAAAGCTTTTTGAGTGCAAAGAACATCCAGATACCTTCACCTGAAACACCTCCCCAGGGCCTGGGAATTTATCTGCATGATCAG